TTGTGTTTCTTCCAAGTTGTTCGTTTTCTCTAAATCTAACAAATATCACAACGAACAACTTTTATTTTTATCTTGTCGTTTTTGCATGCCTTCAGTTTTCATTACTAACAACATGGACCTAAAGTTCAACATAAAACAATATGAACTAAACTTAATAGAGAAAAGAAAATAGAACAAAACTTTTATGTACAGAACAAAGTTAAATATATGGTATGGTCATACGTTTTTGAACTTAAATGTATTAAACCAATCATGTGCTTGAAGTTGAATATTTTTCTGTATTATATGACAAGAGAGAGAGAGAGAGAAAAAGAGTGTCACAGAATCATTGTGATCAAATATCATATCTATAATGATAAATATGAATCTATGAATAAACGTTTTAACGACATAAAATCAAATACTCAAAAGGAATACTGATCAAAGTTTACTACTTCACCTGCATGTCGTCTAATTGTACAATGTTCATGTTTTAGAACTTTTGTTTCCATTTCAGAGTGGTGATATTATGAAATATAGAAGTAGTGGATTGAATAAAAACAGTACATAAATACTTGTGATTTCAATCTTATATCAATGTTTTAATTACATTCAATCAGTTTATATAAAGATACGAATGAACGAACAACATTGTACATTTTCGTTTTTATTCTAGTATGGAGAGAAGATCACACCTCAGCTTCACATTCTAATGTAAATACAATTGATTTGAACTCGAGATGGAAACTTTTCGAATATCTTTTCATATTATAGTCAAGATGTTCGCTCTAATAAGCATTTTGACTTCTAATCGTTATATAAATGTTGTAAAACTAATCTGAATCACTTATCTCATATAATTTTTGTTTGTTTCGATTGATTTCCATATGTTATATTCAACGTAGAAATGAGATGAAAAAAGAAACAGTCAATAAAAAATTATAAAAGTTTGAGAAAAGAAAAAATTTTGACTTCATGCATAAGAGAACAGAAAATTGTTTATTATTCTATTGTAATTGAATCAGAAAAATAGAGACTTGGTGCAAATACAATTCCTCGTTTGATTCCTTTCGATACATCCTGCATTAAGTCGAACAATTGTGTATTTCCTACAGTTTTTGCTGCATTTCTCAAATCTCCGCATAATTCTTCAATTCTCATTATTGTTCGAACAATAGTACCTTCTTGAATATCAATATACTGTAAATCTTGATCATTCATTATATCAATGAATTTTGTTGCACCTTGTGCCCATTTGTATATAATTGACATTATATCAAAGTTAAGTTCTTCTTCGATATAACTATAAATCTTATAATGTTTTTGTAATCGATCTAAATCTCGAGCTACTAATATTAAACGTTGTTTTGCTTGTTCTAATCGTGGCGTAACTGTTTGTTTATCAATTGAATTATTCGTTGAATCTTTTTCATTTGTTCGTTTACCCTGAAATATAATTGATGATATGAGAGCTGCAACTTCTGCCGCATCTAAATTATCTAAAATATTTTGATAGACAAGTTCTGTACACAATAGTTCTTTTCCATTTCCAAATAATGAAGCCACTCGTCCTTTCATACGTATGATATTCTGATTAGTTAAAAGTTTTAATTCTTTTAATATAATTAACATTGATTCATATTCTTCTGTTGTTTGAGTATTTGATTTTATGTCGTTAAAACGTTTATTCATAGATTCATATTTATCATTATAGATATGATATTTTCGTAATTGTTCAAAATGTTCACTAATATGTTCACATTGTCCTACATTAGTTGACTCTAATTGTTGACTTAAAGAATTTAAATCATCTAGCAGTCGAGGATTTTTTGTTCTGGAAATAAAATCGCTCAGCGGAAGGAAACGAATTGAATTAACTAAAAGTAAAGTAAATATATTTCAGACTATCATAGCCTCTAGCGTTTTCAGTCTTCAGCTAACGTTAGAAAACATTTTAAACTGTAACTTAAGTGATAATGAAAATATTTTAGTTCCCTATAAGGTATGGACAAAAAGTTCACAGAACTTTTGTAATCGATATATCTCTGCAACCACTCAAGTATTTTTAACAAGTAAATAGACATTTT